ATTAGTAGTAATTTAGTATCTATAAATAACTATAATATTTATGAGTAATAACAAACACTTAAACAAATAATTTAGCAATTAGGTATTAAATAATAATAAATAATAATAACACTAATAAAGATAATAAATAATAATCTCAATAATCCTTATTCAATCGGGGTATTACAGTCTATCCACCTTACAAAGAATTCCGTCATCGGAATTCGAAAATAAAAGTCTAGAAAACAAATAAAATACAAGGGAAACTCAAAACTCAAAGTTCGGATATCGCCTCCTAAGTTCGACCTCCTTTTCCCAAGTCGCCTCCGACTCGCCATGTCGGCTCCAAGGCACCTTAACCAAACTCACTGCCCGGTTCCTCAACTGATGGACTTTCTGGTCCAATATAGCTACCGGTACCTCCTCGTAGGTAAGGTCTCGCTCAACCTGCAGTTCGCCGAAGTCCACCACGTGAGTGGGATCATGCACGTATCTCCGCAACATAGAGACATGAAACACGTCATGCACTCCCGACAAGCTAGGTGGTAAAGCCAGCCGATAAGCCAAATTCCCGACTCGGGCAAGGATCTCGAATGGCCCAATATAACGCGGTTTAAGCTTCCCCTTCTTCCCGAAGCGTATCACACCCTTCATGGGCGAGACCTTCAAGAAGACGTGATCTCCGACAGCATACTCGTGCTCATCCCTCTTTCGGTCGGCATAGACTTTCTGCCTCTCTTGGGCTGACCGGATATGCTTCCGGATAGCCTCAACTGTCTCCGCAGCTCTAAGAATGAACTCTGGACCCATGATCTTCCTCTCTCCGACCTCATCCCAGTACAAGGGTGTTCGGACCTTACGTCCATACAAAGCCTCGAACGGGGCCATCTTGATCGAGGAGTGATAGCTATTGTTGTAAGTCAGCTCGACCAAAGGCAAGGCACTCTCCCAGGTTAGGCTACGGTCCAAGACCACAACCCTCAATATGTCTTCCAAGTACTGGATCGTCCGCTCCGACTGACCATCTGTCTGAGGATGAAATGCTGTACTGAACTCCAGCCTCGTCCCCATGGCCCGATGCAGAGTCTTCCAGAACTGACTAGTGAACTTCGCGTCTCGATCAGACACGATCTCCACGGGAACTCCATGAAGTTTGGCAATTTCGTCCACGAACAACTCGGCATACTGACTAGCCTTCATAGTCGTCCGGACCGGCAGAAAGTGGGCAGACTTCGTAAGGCGATTCACAATCACCCAAATGGAATCATGCCCGGCCCTCGACCTCGGCAATCCCACTAAGTAATCCATGGTGATGCACTCCCACTTCCTCAATGGAACCTCAAGTGGCTGTAACTTCCCTCTCGGTTTCTGATGCTCAGCTTTCACTTGCTGACACACTAGGCACCTATTTACGAACCTCGCCACTTGCCTCTTCATACCTCGCCACCAAAACGACTTCCTCAAATCCTGATACATCTTCGAGCTACCAGGATGGATGGTGTACGGAGCACTATGGGCCTCTCTCAAAATCTACCTTCGCAATTCCCACACCTTCGGAACACAAAGTCTACCCTCAAAGACCAAGGCCCCATCAGATGCGACTGCGAATCCTCCAACTCTACCGGCTTCCGACAAATCCTTCATCTGACAAAGAAAACGATCATTCGGTTGCTCGGCGACTATCCTCTCACGAAGAGTCGGTCCCACAACCAAAGAGGTCAACGTACTCCTGGCTGTCGAAGTCGACTTTACTGCCTCTAGCTGTAGTCGCTCGAACTCCCGCATCAGAACATCTTGTCCAGTGAATAGACAAGACAGCTGGCCATAACTTCTCCGACTAAGGGCATCGGCTACCACATTAGCTTTCCCGGGATGGTAGCTAATGGTACAATCATAGTCCTTGACCAGCTCCAACCACCTACACTGCCGCATGTTCAACTCCTTCTGAGTGAAGATGTACTTTAGGCTCTTGTGATCGGTAAATATCTCACACTTGCCTCCATAAAGGTAGTGCCTCCAAATCTTCAAGGCGTGAACGACTGCAGCTAACTCAAGATCGTGAGTGGGGTAGTTCTGCTCGTGAGGCTTCAGCTGTCTCGAAGCATAGGCTACAACCCTCCCCTGCTGCATAAGAACACATCCCAAACCCAACTTCGAAGCATCACTGTAGATGGTGAACTCCAAAGTAGGGTCGGGAATGGATAGAACGGGCGCGGTAGTGAGTCTCCTCTTCAACTCCTGGAAACTCTCCTCACACCTAGAACTCCAATCGAACCTCACGGCTTTCTTCGTAAGGTTGGTTAGTGGCTGGGCTATCTTCGAGAAACCCTCAATAAACCTCCGGTAGTATCCTACTAACCCCAGGAAACTACGAACATCAGCGGCACTTCTTGGCGTATCCCACTTGCTTACTGCCTCGATCTTGCTGGGATCCACCTCAATGCCCCTCGCTATCACAATGTGGCCAAGGAATGCCACACGATCCAGCCAAAACTCGCACTTCGAGAACTTAGCATACAACCTCGCCACTTGCCTCTTCATACCTCGCCACCAAAACGACTTCCTCAAGTCCTGATACATCTTCGAGCTACCAGGATGGATGGTGTACGGAGCACTATGGGCCTCTCTCAAAATCTCCCTTCGCAATTCCCACACCTTCGGTACACAAAGTCTACCCTCAAAGACCAAGGCCCCATCAGATGCGACTGCGAATCCTCCAACTCTACCGCCTTCCGACAAATCCTTCATCCGACAAAGAAAACGATCATTCGGT